TAAACTAATGTTGCAGTTGGGAGAATAGAATTCATGCCTTAATATTGCAAACCCACATTATGCTAGTAATCAATAGAATGCTGCACAAAGAAAAAGAAAAAGAAATTTGAATAAAAAAAGTTAGCACTAAATCCTCAAAAAATCAATCTCTGAAACAACCAAAGTAAATCGTTGGTGAATGGGTGCGTGGTGGGTCTCTTTTGGGTGTGTTGGGTGTGTGTGTGTGCTATTTGTGTGGGGGTGATGAGTGCAGGGAAGAGGCGGGGGTAGGATGGGTGTGTGTGTGTGTGAGAGAGAGAGAGAGATTAGGCATACCTGGGAGGGGTTAGCAGCGGCGGTGCGGTGTTGCTGGGGCGGTGGTGGTGTTGCTAACTTCGGCGATGGATGGTGGTAAGAAGAAACAGAGGGAGGGAGAGAGAAAGAGAGTGAGAGAGACGGTGGTGGTGTTGCTGGCTTCGGCTTTGACGGTGATGTTGCTGGTAAGAAGAAACAGAGATAAAGATACAGATAGAGAGTGATGGCCTGTGAAAGCGTCTGACAGAAGGGTTGGGCAAAAAAAAATTATGTCCAAGCCATTTTTTCAGTTGTACCGAGGAGAAGAAGTGACTGCTGGCAGATGAAGTGACTGAACGATCAGATTTTTGAATAAATTTGTGAGTTAAAAATGATGAATTTGAGAGGGAATGCAAAAATCTATGACCGTTGGATGAAATGAATTGTGACCGTCTGATCGGCTTGTTGAAGCCCGCTGTGTTTTATGTTATAGATTAAGACTGAGCTTTCATTAGAAACAACCAAGTCACACGAGAATAGTCATTCACAAATGTCACAAAATAAGGATATTTATTAGATGAAATATTCTTTATTGGACCCCATACATCAGAATGTACTAATTCAAATGGACTAGACACACGATTATTGACTCTAAACTGAAATGACACACGGTGATGCTTACTAAATTGACAAGCTTCACAAGACAAAGACGACACACAAGTAAGACTGGGAACTTGACGTTTCAGATTCTGGAGAGAGGGATATCTAAGACGGCAATGCCATTAAAAAGGAAACAACAAGGTTTGTAGGGCCTGAGGAGGTGAATCAAAATTAAAGTAATATAGGCCACCAGCTTTATCCCCCGTACCAATCTTTCTCTTCGTCTTGAGATCTTGAAAGACATAATAAGATGGATAAAAGGTCACAGAACAATTGAGAGAACGAGTAATCTTACTAATGAAAAGTAAATTAAAAGGAAACTAGAAGACAAATAACACAGAAGATAAGGACATATCAGGACTCAAGTGAGTAGTCCTAAAACCTGAAACTTTAGAATAAGTACCATTAGCAAGAGTAACACTACGTGTATAAGTAACAGGCTGATAAGTAGAAAAAACATCAGATGCACCAGTCATGTGGTCAGAAGCGCCAGAGTCTATGATATAGGGACTGCGAGTGGAGGACAATAAACAAGTAGAAGCAGTACTTGACTAGGCAAAAGTAGCAGTGGAGGTGGAGGGAGAGGGGACAGCCTGTTGCTGGGACAGGAACTGAGCATACTCTTCTCGACCCAGTGTAATAGTAACTGACTTAGTGTCTGGTGGAGCTGACTGAGGTATAGAAGCAACAACAAAGGTATCATCTTGATAGGAAGCTTGATTCGCAGCACCAGAAGGATTTTCATGTAAATCCCAATAGAAATCAACAGTGTGCCCTCCATGACCACAATGAGTACAGGAACGGGGTCCACTATGGCCCCCACAACCACCTGTGCGACCTCCTCAACCACCACAACCACCACGTCCACGTTGATGACCATTACTGTGGCTACTAGGAACCACAAGAGCTGAGCGATCAGTGGAGACCCTATGATCAATCCTTGAAGAAGTAGACAATGTAGCACGTTGTAAACGAGAGAAAACCTCAAGTAGTGATAGAAGACTAGAACCACCCAAAATCTGAGAACGAATAGCCTCATTTTCAGGTTTCAATCCTACCAAAAACCTAATAACATTCAGGTACTCATGTTGCTTTTGCTGAACTGTTGCATCAGTAGTAAACGAATGTTAGGTCTTAATCTCCTCATTAAGACCTACCCTGCTCCAACCGGAAGTACTCCTTGCACACCTCATAAGCACGGTTAAAATTATCTGTACCCGAATACATAGTAGCCAAGTGATTCCATATGTCTTTGGTAGTATCAAGATAGGGCAAAAAAGAGCTAATACTAGGCTTAATGCTATTCAACAATAAAGAGATAATCTAAGCGTCCTCTTGTTCCCACTGATCATATCCAGGAGTATCTTCCTTGGGTTTAGCATTAACCAAATATTTCTTGAAACTTTTGCCTCGAAGAAAGACTTGAATAGAGCGGGACCATAAAGTATAATTAGTCTTATTGAGTTTAACGGAAATCATGGGACCATTAAGAATAATTGAAGAAGTAGAGGTAGGAGGTAAAGATAGAGCAATAACATCTTGCTTAAGTTCCATAACAATATGGTAAATAGTAAAACGGGGAGCAACCTTACTGCTGGACAACTGAATGGAGCAAGCAAATAGTAAAACAGGAGTAACCCCACTGCTGGGTAATTGAATGGAGCAAGAGGAAGTCACTAGACCGCTGAACCAGACTGAGAGGCCTCTTTATGCCGTTGAACTAGACAGGAAAAGCAGACTGGCTCACTGAGCCGAGCAAGCCGAGCTCACTAGACCACTGAACCTAAGCAACAATAGAAGAAACCAGTTTGAGTCAGTGTAAAACTGCTTGAATCGGTTAGAATGGATCAAACCAGGATTGAACTGGCCTTGAACCGGTCTAGTTAGGGTCTGGACTGGGTTTGAACTAGACCGGGTCTGGGCTGGACCCGGTTTGGTTTGGACCTTGGGCTGGACCTAGTCTGAAATGGGCTGGAACCGACCCGCAATCGACCTTGTCTTCTTCGCCTGATTAGGGTTTCAAAAGAAACCCTCGATCTTCGTCGCTGGCGTCCTACCAATTAAAGTTAATTTTTACAACACAAACACACACTAATATTTGTATTTATGATCGTATTGCTCTGATACCATGTTAACTTGAGAGAATTAACATAATATTAGAGATAGACAGAGAGTGGTTAAAACTTCACATAGCTCTCATACATCACTTGTATATATAAGAATTACACATTCACCCTCTTGTATTTGCACATAATACCCTAATACTCTTAACAATTTACACATATTATCCTAATACTCTTAACATAATGCATGAAAGAATTGTTTGCTATTTTATTAGAACATAAGTTTCTTCAGATTTTTTGGAGTCTTTGTGGCCTTCCAACTCTTTGGAGAAGAGTTTTTTTCAGTCGGGGAGAATTAATAGAGATCAAAAAGGGATTGAATGAGATTAAATTTAAGAATTAAATTTTATTATTTGTTTTATTAGTTAGAGAATATTTGTTTGACTAGGAGTAGTAATTAAAATTTAATTAGAAAATTATTATAGAGTTTTAGTAGTACAGGAGTTTAAGAGTTTGATTATGAAACTCTTTTAGAATTTTAGCAGGAGAATAATTTTTATTTCAGTAGGGGACTTGGTCTATAAATATCGATGTAATCCTCAGTCTTTTAATTAGAGAGAGAATGATATAATAAAAAGTATTTTTCTGTGGAGAATTTTGTGTGTTTCTTGATCGATTCCTTGCGAGGATGAGGTAAATCCCTTTTCCACCCCTCTTCTTTCCCCTTCTCTTTCTATTCTCTGATTTTTAGTCCTTCCCGTCTTACATCAGGTTAGCTTGGAGAGAGCAACATTTTGGATACAAAATAGAAATAAAGAGAAAATTTAAAATTTTGTTTCCTAAAGCATTGGACAAAAAACCTCAAAATTTCCCGAAACACCACGAAATATTTCGAAATACCTCAAAAAAATAATTTTGATTTTCTATCACCATTTCCTTTCCATTTCCATGGAAATCGAAACTTATCGCTAAATTTTCATCCTTGGCTAGGATACAACATTATTAAGTGTGGTTGAAGTATATATGATATATTATAGTAGGCATCGTTGTAGTTATTGGAGTGCCAGTCTGCTGTTAAGCTTGTAGTTTTGTTATTCTGCATGTGTATGGGATGTATCAAACTTGATTTAGTAGAAAGGATAAAAAATTCGTTTTGATGCGTAGTTTTCATCTTGGAGACGGAAAGGTTTCAAAAATTATTCGGAAACACAATCGAAACAAAAAAAAAAATTAAAGATTTATTTGCGAAACATTCGGAAACATACTGAAGCATGTTGAAACACGTAGAAATCAGAGGATTTCGATATTTAATCACTAATATGGTTTCCATGAAAACCAAAATATTTCAGAAATTTTGACCATTTCTAAATGAAATTTAATTCCTTGATCAGTGATGTTATTACATTGAGCATAGAGTTGAGACAAACCTAGTGAAGGCAAAACTTTGTTCCCTTAGAATACGTTTCTTTTACCTGAATCTCCTATTTGCAAGTGCTCGATAGTGTTCTTTAACTGGAATGTAAAACTTTCAACTTAAAGGCTTTATAATACACACACCCAGACAAAAATATACCTATATTTGGATGTATGCACGCATTTATTTTTTAATCTCTGCTTTGAGAAATAACTGTGTATGCATTAAATCACTACGTCGGGCCTATGTAAGCCCATTATTGATACCTGAAAGCTGGTTGATCTATTTTTCCATTGTGGCATGGACATGTTCACTGAATTTTACTATTGCTAGTTTTCCTTATTATCCTATGCACTCTTCTCTCTCGCCCTTTTTCTACTAAAACACGCACCCCCTTCTTGCTTGTACAATCAAAACACCCTTGCAAGCTCACATACCTTTTGCACGTAGCCTGCGTACTTCTTTTGGTCGTTGTCCTTTTATGTCAAATGTTTGATCCATTTCAGATACCTAACTTGTAGGAAGCATTGAAAAGGCGTCTAAATGCAAGAATAGAATATGCAAAATTCCTTCAGGACACAGCCAAAGAAATGGCAAAGGAAGTCCAAACCTCGCAGAGTGGAGAAATCAAGAAAACAGCAGAAGATCTGGATGAATTTTTGAACAGGGTCAGTGTGACTTTAACATTCCACCATGTGGTTACATAAATCCCTTTCATAAGATGAATATTATTTGTACATAATGAGGTATGCTGGCACAGGTTAGAAGAGGTACCGATGTCTCTAATGAGGAAATTTTAAGCTTTGCTAAGTTGTTCAATGATGAACTTACGCTAGATAATATCAGCAGGTTAGTTTTTGTTTACCATGCTTTTTTGTTATATTTTTCGTTTTGACACATCATTGCTGGTTAATCAGTTAGTATGGTTGTTACTATTTGCTTTTGAGTGGGATTATATGACAATTGTCATATTTTTTTTGAACCTTTTGTTGTTGACAGGCCTCGATTAGTGAATATGTGTAAGTATATGGGAATCCAATCTTTTGGCACTGATGCATATTTGCGTTATATGCTCCGAAAAAGATTGCAAAGGTGAGATACATTTCTTTCTAGGTAATTTTTGTTGTTTCATTGCAAATTGTTTTGTAGGTCAATTCTTAAGGTATTGTAGTTTCCATAAGTTGGGCCCAGTTGCCCCAATTATTAAAGTATGGGTCTGTCGTGTTGACTTGAAATTTCTAGCCACAGGGCTCAAATAGGCTTTTTATCTTATTGAGCTGGTAGATATTTGTTTGTATGGGTAGTTTGATATGGATGGTTTATTTAAATAAACGTAATGATTTTGTTATTCTCTCAGTTTCTTCATAGTTACATTTATACTTATGTAAAGAACATGGTACTTTCTAGTTTAAGCCTTCGTATCTTGGATTTTGAAGAAGGTAAATTCCTAAAACTATATGAGTTCACAGCGAAACAAATCTTAGGAGTAGAGATGATGTTGTTTGTCTTATCTGATGATGGTGATCGAGTGATGGTTGGAATATTGGTGACTTTCAACTAGATATAAGGCCATTATCCTTGGAATAATGAAATATTCACAAATGAATTGAGTTTACTCCAAACTAGAGAGAAAAAAGAAAGAAAAAATATCATTGTGACACCGGTCTGTGTTTCAACAACATGACCTAAGATATATAATAGATACCCTTAAATAGTAGGGCAAAGCAAAATGAAGTAATCAACTAAATTACCCCCTATACTCATATGCTAAACTACTTTAACACCCCCCTCAAACTCATGATGTGGTAAAAGTGCGCTATGGTGTGAGATTTCGTAAAGAATCCACCAACTGTATTGTAGAAGGAAGAAATGGGAGAGAGATAGTGTTCAAATGAAGATGATAGCGTAGAAAGTGGCAGTCAATCTCAATATGCTTTGTACGCTCATGGGAAGACTGAGTTGTGAGCAATTTGAATAACACTAGTGTTGTCACAATACATAGGGGTAGGAGTAAATAAAGAGATTCTAAGATCAATAAGCAACTATCGTAACTAGACTATCTCAGTTGTAATAGATGCCATTGCACGATAATCAGCTTCAGCCGAAGAACGAGCAACAATAGTTTTTTTTTTTTTTCTTTTCCAAGAAACGAGAGAATACCAAGAAAAAGATAGAAATCAGTGGTAGACTTGTGGTTCATAAAGGCACCAGTCTAGTTAGCATTTGAATAAACTATGAGTTTCATAGTAAGGAGGAAGGGAATGGTAGACTATGATATAGAGTACCTCAAAGATACCGAAGAATACGGAGTACAACAACCCAGTGAATAGTGGTAAGCGAGACAACAAATTGACTAACAATATGAACAACATAAAAGATATATGGACGAGTAACTGTAAGATATACCAGACTCCTAACAATAGTACAGTAGATGGTAAAATCTGTTAAGAGAGTACCATCAGACGAAGAATATTGAACATTGAGCTCCAAATGTGTGTCAACTATCCGATTATCTAATAAATGAGCTCGTTGAATAACATCTGATGCATATTTGGACTGAGACAGGAGATAACCTTTAGGAAAAGAAGCAATCTTAATCCCCAAGAAATACTGGAGCTAACCTAAATCTTTCCTCTCAAAATAATCCTACAATTGATTTTTCAATAGCTGAATGTGAGAAGTGTCATCATTTGTGATAATCATATCATTGATATAAAGTAATAGAACAATGAAACCTATGGAAGTGGACTATAAAACGAGAGTAGAATTATGATCACTAGTATGAAAATTCAAATCACATATGACCGAAGAAAACTTAGCAAACTATGCCCTAGGAGCTTGTTTAATACCATATAATGTCTTTCAGAGTTTGCACACTTAACTAGGGCTTTAAGGTAATATACTAATATAGGAGTAGGAGCCATAAAGACTTCTTTAGTTAAATCTCCATTGACAAAGACATTTTTCACATCCATCTGAGAGACACTCCATCTATGAATAGCAGCCATTGCAATCACAGTGTGAATAGTAGTCATCTTAGCAACAGGAGCAAATGTCTCCTCTTAGTCAATGTCATACTCTTGAACAAAGCCCTTTGCTACTAGTTGTACATTATGTAGTTCTACAGAACCATGAAATTTGGTTTTAATTTTATAAATGCACTTGCAACCAACAATGTGCTTCCCAGAGGGTAATGGCACCAACTCTCAGGTGCCAGTTTTATGTAAAGCAATAAGCTCTTCATTTATAACCAGTTTCCAAAGAGGATCAAGAATAACCTTTTATAAGAGGTAGGTTTAGAAAGAGTGTATAGAAGCTCAAAAAGAACAAAAATCATTAGAATAACAAGAGTTAGAGTAACCAAATCGATCTAGACATTTACGAAGTCACTGAGGATAGCGAGGAATATAATCTACGCTATCAGAACCTGACTAAGTGACAATAGAGGAGGGAGGCATCGCATCTGTAGAGGAGACAGTTAGAGTCTTACGAGCATAAGTATGTACAGTTAGGGGACAAATGATCGGCAAATCAGAAGAAAAAGGCACATCAGAGTGTCATATCACCAATATAAGTGTCAGAGGGAACATCAATTGGAAATGGGTTAATGTAAATGAGATCCTACTTGTGTAAATGATAAGAATTAGATGAAATCGAAAAGAAGAGAATATGCTCCATGCAAGGATCAAAATTTTATTTTTGTGTATTGTTTCAGTTACCTAAGATACGGAAACGTTTTGACATGTTTCGATCCGTTTCGAAAACATAATGAAAAAAAAAAATTTAAGAATTATTTTTCTAAAACAATGATTGAAATATATCAAAGTATCTTGAAATATCTTAAAACTTTCTGAAACAATTATGCAAATGCATTAAAATATTATAAAATATCTCAAAATATTATGAAATAGCTCGAAATATTAAAATCTCAATTCCATCACTGATTCATTTCGATCTCTTTGAAAACGGAAATGTTTCGGACGTTTTGACCGTTTTGAAATGACATTTTGATCCTTGGCTTCATGAAAATAACATGAGGAGAGACATACAATTTGTGTGTGACAGGATCATAGCAACGATAGCCTTTTTGATCATCACCATAAAGAAGAAAAACACAAAGAGCTGAACAATAGAGAGTTTAATATGAATAGCACTAACCATTAAGACAAAACAAGTACATCCAAATACATGCTGTCTTGTATTATGATTCTCTTTGGGCCTTTTATCAAAGATACAAAATAACTATTAGCTAACTATGCGTATAGGAATATGTAGTCTTAAATAATTTTCTATAATTGTGAAAGTGAACCACAACTCAAAGTAGCATACCAACTAAAACTACCCCAATCGCCTTGCAAACTGGAAGACGTATTGTACCGCGTACCAAATCCACCCATAATCTAAGTAGCATTGGTTTCAATTAGGGTTGCATATCCAAGGAAGTGGGAAATTAAAGCTAAAAACTGAGATCAACTTTTGTATTTTATCTGATAGTATTGTCTGTTCACTTGAATTGACAACAACGAGATGACTACAATACTTTGTTTGATGAGCTTGCTAATGAAGCAGGAATATGGATCATACTGCTGTTTTGTAATTAGTTACCAACTTGCTACGCTGTTGCGTGTATCGTAGACAAGCATAGTAGGAATTCCTATGATTTTGACAATAATTTTGATTGTTTGGATGAATAAATTATGGCAAGGTCTTTGCATGAATAATGATCAAAATAATGTTTCAAAGAACCTGTTTTTCCAACTTATATCTTTGCTAGCTTTAGTATGCAGCCACTCACCAAGGGATGAAGACCTATTTCTTTCATGATGGTGTACTTTGAATGTACTGGATCCATTTTAACCAAAGAAGTAGTTATTTTTTTCCAGCACCATGGGTTTGCATTTGTTGCCTTCAAGTTGTAGAAACACAAGCATGACAGTTAGATGTTGGGCTTGAAAGAGTTCTAATCTTCCTTTAAAGTCTGGAGAAGTGATGTCAATTTGTAGTTTTGTGCCAAGTACTTTTCCCCTGCTGTTTGCATCCCTTGAATGAGAAAAAGCATGATGCACCAGGGGATTATGGGCTAAATATTGAAAACTAAAGGGAACTAAAATTTTCAAACTGGTATTTTAGTATTTTGTGACTTGACTATATAAAAATTGGGTGTAGTTGTGTAACCTTAATACACTATTCTCTTCTCATAATATTTTTATCTTCTCTAATTTTTTTTCTTTCTTCAGATCCTAATATCTTCATAATTTAACTTGGTATCAGAGCATTCGATTGAATTTAATGTCTCAAATTGTTGAAATCCATCGGAAACCTTCCACTATAAATTGCATTGGTAGCTGTCAGAGTTTGACATGTTGATGTCAGCATCTGATTGGCTGACATTAGTGACGAACAATGTTAGAAATTTTTGAAACAACATGGACAAATTCGAATTGGTCTTCAGAGAATTATGGTGATTTTTTTGGAATGTTTTGAAGCCATTTGATAGGCCTTTCAAATTTTTGAATGTTTTTTGGTTTTTCCATGTTCGTTGCCGCGATTTGCCCTTCTTGACAATATGTATGTCGTTTTTGGGTAAGTGCCAGTCGACTAGGCTCGACTGGGACTAATTTGTAATACCCATAGTATTTGGTGTATTTGAATCAGATTGTGAAGGTTTTTTACCAGATCTATTATGAGAGCCTGGTTTTGTCATCTATTGCGCTTGGTTTGGCCTCTGGTTGTTACCCAGAGCATGTTTATCCCCTATGCTACATTTGGGTATTGCATAGAACATCTCATCCTATTGCTTGTATAATTTTGCTATTTTGGAGAATTTTTCTGGTGGTTGCCACATATTTTGTAAAATCCGGTAAATTTAAACTTTTGTAAACAAGGACAAAACAGTAATTTTGTCGTTATAGTATGGGTTGAGAACTTGAATTTTTCTAGATCTCGGATGATGAAACGGATCTCACCGTTGGGTTTGTCTCGCAAAATCTAGCTACCACGGTAAATTTCATCGAATTTTGAGACAGTTAAATTTTTCACGTTTTGCGAGGCGGTCGAGTCTCGACGACCCAAAAACGGGATTTTTAATAAAATTTCGAAAGTTGGGAAATAATTAAAGGTAAATTAAAATAAAATTAATTTGAACTTGAATCAGAACGAAATTTAATCGTTTCAGGATGAAAACGGACCCGAAAACAAAAAGGGTTGTGTGGCGTGTTGTGGGCCTAGTATTCTAAAGTATAAATAGAAGAAAAATCAGATTTTTCTCCCATTCTTCAGCCGTTCACCCGATAGAGAAGAGAAGAGAGAAAAAAGAGAGAAATTCTTTACTTCTCTCTACAATCTAGGAAGCTACGGAGCTCGAATCCACTCGGGGCAAGAACCAAAGTTGTTCTCCTCGCCGAGGGCTACGCGACCACTCCAAAAATGACGTGTTTCACCGAAGGTTGAAAAACGAAATTTTTGGGATGTGAGGATTCAAGGTTGTTTTGGGTTCTTGGGGCTTCCCAACGTCATTTACGCTTCGAGAGGTAGGGGTTCCCCTACTTTGATTCATTTCTC